CCGCGGTCAGTCGCCACCCGGCAGGTCAGGCTGGGGCTACATGGGTTGATCTTGGTCAGGTCGAGGTGCCGGGGAGGGGGCCCTTGCAGGCGAGTCAGTCCCCGAGGCCCGAGACCGAAGGCGTCGAGTGAGTTCACCTGTCGGGGTTGCGGACGCGGTGGCGACATTGGACTTGTTGGACGGGTTGGTGGCGCCGTTGAGTTGAGGAGGAGTAGACGAGGAATTGCTGGCCTGCGGGCGGCACAGGAGAATTCAAAGCACATTGAAACAGGAAGGGAGGAGGAGGAGAATTTGCAAGAATGTTTGGATGAGATGCAAGGGATTAGGAGGATGGGAGATAGAGAAAATTGGGGCAGATAGCAAGAAGCGTGTGCGATTCTTGAGAAGAGGAGGAAGAATGGAAGAAGAGACAGTCAAGACATGAGAGAAGGAAAGAAGGAGACGAGAGGAGGGGAGAGGAGAGGAGAGGAGGGGAGAGGAGAGGAGGGGAGGGGAGGAGCAGAGGAGAGGAGCAGAGGGACGAGAAGAGCGGAGGGAGAGGGACGAAGGGCAAACCGATAGCTGGGAGGATCTCTGTTGGTTCTGGGAGGCTTCACTCTTCTTCTCTTCGATCTTCTTCTTCAGTCTGTAGCCTTGTTAGCAGCGGATGCTTCACGCAGTTTCCCCCCACTCCATAATCTGCTGCTCCAGTGCTAAGGCCGTGTGGTTGGCGCTCGAGCTGGGCGCTGACGTGGCAACTTGTACCCCTCGACCCCTACCAAATTTGCATCATCACTATAATCATCTTGAATAGGAGCAGGAGCAGGAGCAGGAGCAGGTACAGGGGCAGAGGCAGGGGCAGAGGCAGGGGCATCATCAGCATCAGCAATAGCCATAATCTTCATCGTCATCATAATGATCTAGTCGAGCCATCATCAAGTTATCATATCGTCTCCTTCATCTCAACAGGCCTTCTTCGTTCGACTGTTCGCGATCATCCTCGTACCATCCTCGCATCGCAGTCATCACTCCTCTCCCTCTCCCCCGTATCGCCGGCGGCTTCGCAATTCCCTTGTTGATGTCAGCCCGTGACTTTCGCAAAGTAGACAAGCATACCCGTCGAAGAACATGCAGGCTACCAGGTTGAGCTAAGAACATCATCATCATCATCATCATCCCAGCCAATGACACGAATACCCGCCGTCCTAAATGTGTTGGACGTGTACAACTTGTTTTGAGTGTTGGCAGGTAGAGTCTTCTGTTGCGAGCTCGAGCTCACGATCACATTTCTAACTGTGTTGTCATCGTCCGAGAAGTCGTCGTCGAAGTTCACGACCTATTCAAGGAGAGGTCTCACAAGGAGGACGATGACGAGGGTACACTCACGAGGCTGCTCTCTGTCTTCGAAGAGGAAGCAGCTGCATGGCTGCTTGCAGCGTTCGAAGTAACATGCCTTGATGCTGCCACATATGATTGTTACTACCAACATCATCGTAATCGCCAGCTTCATCAGCATCATTGTCGTCATCATCATAATCATCGTCGTCTTTCACGCGTCATTCCTTCCCCACACCTGTGGATGCAGCCGTCGTAGAGGTGCCTTGAGAGCATGCCAATTTCCTTCAAGCAACAACATCAGAGGCACATGCCTTCACAACACACTGGCTCACTTCTGCTCTTCCAGAAACCTGTCAAGATCTCCTGCTCCCAACAGTGTCATGTGATGCTTGTCCCTCCCCTCCCCTCCCTCCCTCCCTTCCCTCCCTCCCTCCCTCCCTTCCCTCCCTCCCTTCCCTCCCTCCCTCCCCTCCCTTCCCTCCCTCCCTCCCTCCCTCCCTCTCCCTCCCCTCCTTACCCAGATTTGTTGTCGGCGCTTTGTCTTGATCCATGCCTAGCAACTCCCACGAGGCCTCAAATCAGCTCATCCTGCCTTTCACAGCCGGCGGAAACCATTGACTGCTACAAGATTGATCAGCGGGCCCATGGGCTGAAATCTTAGGTGCGGCAAACACTGCATCCCCTTTGTGGGACCGTAGTTCATCTTGAACAAGTTTTCACCTCGCGATCATGATGACTACACTCAATGGAATCGTAATCAACATCCTCATCGCTATCAGCATCCTTTCTTGGCATGCACAACCTCCTCTCTGTCGTGTTTACCCTAACACTCATCAATGACCGTCTCAATACCAATATCTCCTTCCCTCCCCTTCTTCCCTCCCCCTTCCCCTTCCGCCCCCCGCTCCCCTCCTCGCCCGCTCCCCACTTCTCACGTCGGACACACCCAAAATTTCCTCCTCTCCCCTGCATCCTCCTATCTATTCCGGGATGCACATCATTCTCTGTATCCGCATCCTTTCACACGGGGTTCTAACATCGTCTTCATGTCACTATTCTCCTCCTTCTCCCCTTCATTTTCGCCATTTCCCCTCTCCTTTCATCTCCCATCCCTGGCTCGTTCCCTTCATTCCCGGCTCGATATTCCGTTACTCCTTTGTAACTGTGGCCAAAGTACCCACCCACCAGTAGTCTATCTGGAAAACTACCCAGTACAGTATCGATTTCACTACCCTACCTTCCTCTCTGACACCCCATCTGCTACCTTGTTAGTACCACCCCTCCTGGAGCCCTCACCTAAAAAGCAGCGAAACAAGGGATTGCCCCCACTACCCCCACCCTACCATTTGATACCCCCACCCCACTCCATCCCCTCAGATACAATCTACCACTCCGTCGGACACCGGGACAGCTAAATTTTAACCCTTCAAAATAAGACCCACCCTACCCTACCTTGACCCAGAGAATTACAGGAGAAAGTACCTCCCTCCATCCCATAATTGAATCTAATCTGTTAAAATTTAAGCCCCTGGATGCCTTAAATTAACCCACCACCCCACCCCCAATTTACACGGACGAAAGGGTAGGTTCCCCGAGCACCAAATCGTGTAGAGGAAATGGACCCCACCTCCACCATGTGGATTTCAACTACCCCTACCCTTAATACCTGAAACAAACGAACAGTACCCCCACTGAAATTTCACCACCGGGTACTTTTCCCATAAGAATAGAGTTTTATGTACCCGTATCAAAGATGACCCACCCCTCCATTTCGAAAAGTGATCCTGGATACCGGGGTATTCTCACACATACCCATACAGAGTACCCGACCCCCCATGACGGCCCTGCACCGCGCCATGGCCTAGCGGCTGGGGACGTGAGGGGAGGGGAGATGCTCTTGAGAGAGGACGGGACGATCTGCGTGTGTGTGCGATGAGCTGAACAGAAATAGACGAGGATGCTGGTTTAAAATGAGAGGCCTCGCGTTCAGCGAGCATGCAAGGAAATGGTGGCAGCTGGTTGAAATGTATGCTGTAAGTGCGCAAGGAGTTTCAACCAATTAGATACGTGTCCTTGTGTGAAGGGAAGGAGTCGATGAATCTGATGTTTGATTTTCATTCCGGAGACCTTCCAGCCGAGTCAGAGGCTTGTTGCCTCTTCTTCCCTGCAGCAGAGAGGTGGAAAACAAACAAGCATCGATTTGTAGTACTCTAGCAAATTGAGTTGTGAAGATTTCGTTGATTTTGCTCGATTCTGTGGAAGACAGATCCGTCATGCAGGACGTTCCCAGAGGACTGATCTGAATGATGGCAGATTGAAGATTAGTTTCAAATGGGGGTCGATTTGGACAAATGGATCGCCAAGGTTTCAAAAACTCCCTGTCGTTTCCCTCTCTGACAAACTCGGAAGGTCCGGGACTGCGAATATCTACCAGAGAACGATCTCAAATGCTTGTGCCAAATGGTAGCGATGGAAGGAAGACCTCTCCTTCCTGACGACTCTGTGTAGGTGAAGGACCTGCTGGTGGAGGAGAGCAACGTGCAACCTGTGCAGGCTCCTGTCACAGTGTGCGGAGACATACACGGGCAATTCTACGATCTTCTGGAGCTGTTCAAGGTGATCCGAGGGCTCGCGGGTGACGGCCTCTCATGCCGAGACGCAGGTTGGGGAGGAAGTTCCAAACACATCATACGTATTCATGGTGACACCCGTGCCCCCCTGCCCCTCGACGGATTCTGACGTTCCAACCTGCGTCGTAGGGGGATTTTGTTGATCGTGGCTATAACAGTGTAGAAACCTTCACCTTCCTGATGCTCTTGAAGGCTCGGTAATGACGTGTCAGGGAGATCCCTGTTCGTGTGCTCACTGCCATGCAGATATCCAGCCAACATCACACTTCTACGGGGAAACCATGAAAGTCGTCAAATAACACAGGTGAGTCAAGGCCTTGCAGAGGCTGGACAGCCTCCTGTGGTCTCGGCCCCGATGATCTCGTTCGTAAGGTGTATGGGTTTTACGAAGAATGTCAAAGGAAGTATGGAAATGCAAACGCATGGAAGTATTGCACGGTGTTTACCTTCTGTGCTGTTTGCTCCGAAACAACTCAACAGATCGTCTCAGGAAGTTTTTGACTATTTGAACGTGGCTGCAGTCATTGATGGACGAGTTCTGTGCGGTAAGCAGCATGCTCCTGCCATTCACAGCCACCCCTGCTGACCTCGCGACAGTACATGGCGGCCTGTCACCAGACATCGTCACTCTAGACCAGATGCGGCTCATCGATAGAAATCAGGAAATCCCTCACGAGGGAGCGTTTTGCGGTGATCCATTGCCGCTGCTCGAGGAAGCTCCCTGACCTTCTCCCGTCACAGACCTTATGTGGTCGGACCCCGAGGACATCGAGGAATGGTCGGTGAGCCCTCGTGGGGCTGGTTGGCTGTTCGGTTCCAGGTGCGGCTGCGATCCCCCGGTGCGAGCAAGACGCCTGATGGACATGGCAGGGTCACAGCAGAATTTTGCGACATGAACGGGCTGGAGCTTGTATGCCGTGCCCACCAGCTCGTGCAGGTCAGAAGTAGAGATCACCTCCGACGGGCTTCCTGGTCGCTCATGCTTTGATCCTACAGGAGGGCTTCAAGTACATGTTCCCCCAACAGGTGCTCCTCGTAACCGCTCCATGTGCTCCTCTGACTAGCATTTGCAGAACCTCGTCACCGTCTGGTCAGCCCCCAACTACTGCTATCGCTGCGGGAATGTCGCGGCCATCCTTCAATTTGACGAGAGCCTGGTAAGCGCGATTGTCCCTCGAGCAAGGAGTGGAGGTGGATAGCTGTGATCTGAAAGGAGGGAGGAGAGGCCGGTTCCCTTGATCGCGGGACAGTGCAGCGAATGATATGTTGTTGTTGATGACAACGGGGCAGTGTGTGTGCAATCTGCTGACCTGCTCTCTCAGCATCGCAACTTCCTCCTCTTCAACGAAGTCCCTGAATCTGAGCAGTCTATGCCCTCCAGGACTGCAGCGCCGGTAAGAAAAAGCATCACTGCCGACGTTGATTTGACCATTCCATACGCAGTACTTCTTCTAAAGAAATCCTCACAGTGAACATGTGAAAAGAGGCTCGGCCACTAGAATTTCTCTTCAAGTTGTATAGATGGTAGTTTCATGCAAGTTCTTCCGCCGAAGTAAAATCGTCTCCCATGGACCCAACCACTCCTTGCAAACCTTCGCCTCGCTGCTCTGCTCATCTCATACGCCTTGGGCTCTCCTCATCTTGTCTCCTCCCCTCCTACTTATCTCCTCCTCCTCCTCCTCCTCCTACATATCTCCTCCTCCTCCTACATATTGCATTCTTCTTCTCCTCCTCCTCCTACATATCGCATTCTTCTCCTCCTCCTCCTCCTACATATCGCATTCTCCTCCTCCTCCTCCTCCTCGCACTTTTACCATCAATCCCTTGTCGGGCTGCATTTTGTCGTCGAGAAGCGGCGAGTACAGGGAAAAGCCTTGGGGTAGGGGGTACTCATGTGGACTATTGGGGGTAGGGTGGGGGAAACAAACAAGGGAAGTGCTCTCTAAGAGCTCGGTCGAACGACGGGAAGAGGGAGGAGCGAGGAGCGAGGAGCGAGGAGCGAGGAGCGAGGGAGAAGAGGGGCACGGAAGGGCTACCAGTAGCAGCAGTCATGTGACCTGTCCTGCTCGCATGGTTGCGCAGTAGAGACAGATAGCAGCCGAAGCTGCGATCCACGAGGACGGACTGAAGATGCAGGAAATTTGGAATGCGATAGTGCAGGAGTTGATCGAGAACGATGCTCTCGTTATCCTGGGCAAGGTGAGTTCCCGTCTTCCTGCTGCCTCCCTCCCTGCATGTCCACTCCCAGCTCTAGCCCGATCGCTTTCCCTGGCCGCCCGCTCTTTTGTTGCCTGCATGAATGACTGCCACTTTCCTGCACTCTTCCCCTTCTCCCACTTCTCCGTCCTTCTCCTCCATGCTCTGTCATCAAGATCACCCGATCACCTCACGGCGCCAACAGGGGCTGGGAGTCTTCGAGGTTGCGGCGAAGTTCCTGGAGATCCACTCTTACTCCTCCTCGTTTGTCATCCTGGTCAACGCCCCCCGGACCGTACAGGCCCAGCTCGAGCTGCTGCATCACGCGCGCGGCTGCGACCGACCAACCACGAGCATCAACAACGAGTACACGGGGGAGGAGCGGGAAGCAATCTACGCAGGAGGAGGAGTGGTGGCGGTCACCTCGAGGATCCTCGCCGTCGATCTCCTCACAGGGCGGGTCCCTGCGGAGAAGCTGCGGGGGCTTTTCGTGTGGGACGCGCACAAGGTGTCGGAGACGTCGTCCGAGGCGTTCATCCTGCGGCTCTACAGGCAAAGGAACAAGGAGGGGTTCATCAAGGGGCTGTCGGACTGCCCGGAGGGGTTCGGCCATGGGTTCTTCAAGGTAGAAAAGGTGATGAAGGTTCTGTTCGTCAAGAAGCTGTTCCTCTGGCCTCGCTTCCACGTCAAGATCAACCAGTGCTTTGCCAAGGATGAGGTGAGGGGACTCGATAGACTGCCGCGCCTCTTCCCCGCGCTCCTCCTCCTTCTCTTGCTGCTTCCCTCGCTCGTTCCATGTTATCCTCCCCTCCTGGCTGCTCTGCTCTGCTCTGCTCTGCTCTGCTCTGCTCTGCTCTGCTCTGCTCTGCTCTGCTCTGCTCTGCTCTGCTCTGCTCTCTGCTCTCTGTGCTCTGCTCTCTGTGCTCTGCTCTGCTCTGCTCTGCTCTGCTCTGCTCTGCTCTGCTCTGCTCTGCTCTGCTCTGCTCTGCTCTGCTCTGGTCATCTTGTCTCATCTCACTATCTATCTCTCACTTTCTCCCGCTTCCTCCATCTCATCCTCCCCCCTCCCCCCCCGCCTCCCATTTCACAATCTCTTCTGCTGTCCCTCCCTACATCCTCCTCCTTCGCATGCTCCCGTCTCCTCACCGGGCCGAGCAGGTAGACCTAGTGGAGCTGAAGCAGGAGATGAATGCGGGCATGGCGGAGCTGCAGGGAGCGATCATCGACGCCATGGACTCCTGCCTGGTCGAGATGAAGAAGACCAACAAGATCGACGTCTCCGAGCTGAGCATCGAGTCTGCCCTTCAGCTGTCCTTCGACGTCACCATCCGGAGGCAACTGAACCCTTCCTGGCACAAGGTCGGGCCTAAGATCAGGCAGATCGTCGAGGACCTCAAGACTCTCCGGCGCCTGCTGGGGTTCCTGCAGGAGTACGACTGTGTCTCGTTCCTGGACCTGGTGGACAACCTCCGGGGCTCGATCCACACTGACACGGGGCACCCTCCCTTCTGGATCTACACGCCGGCGGGGCAGAGGGTCTTCGATGCAGCCAAGAACAGGGTGTACAAGCTGGAAGGGGGGGGGGAGGGAGGGAGAGAGGCGGAGAAGGGAGGCAGGAGGAGGCAGGAGGGCCACGGGACTCTGCGGGGGAGGACGCTGCGCCCTGTGCTGGAAGTGAATCCGAAGTGGGACCTGGTGCTGGAGGTGCTTGAGGAGATCAACGAGACGAGATTGCAAGTTGCCTCCTCCTCCTCCTCCTCCTCTTCCTCCTTGGCTCCCTCCCTCGGCCCCACTCTGGTGATCGTCAAGGACGAGAGGACGGCGTCGCAGGCTCGGGACGTCCTCTCGTTTGGCCCGCAGGCGTGCATGCTGCACTCGTTCCAGCGCTACTGCTGGAAGAAACTTGACATGGTGCGGCAGCAGCGGGATGTGCAGCAGAAGAGAAGGGGAAACTCTAGAGCGCCGGACGTGCTGGATGTGGAGGAAGGAGTGGAGCTCAGTACCTTCCAGGTGGAGTCGAGGCTGCTTGCAGCGCTTGCGCAGGAGGAGGACTTTTTCTGTCTCATCCGCCAGCCACAGCTGCTCAAGGCGACGGTGCGGGTGGAAGGGGAGGAGGAGGTGGCGGGAGGAAACAGCGAGGGGAATCGGCTGCAGCGGGTAGCGAGGAGCGAGGTGGTGGAGGTGGACAGCTCGGAAGGGGAGGAGAAGAAGGAGGGGGAGGCAGGAGGGGGGGGAGACGCGCTGCTCTGCGACCCCTCTGACTTCAGCTTGAAACTTGAAGAGGACGATGCCAAGTCGCTTGCCTCCTCCATCCCCTCCTCCACCCTCGTCAACTGGGCGCGGGAGGATTGCAAGAACCTCCTCCTCCACGTTCGATCGGGCGGGCACGAGGGGAGCGCAGAGCTGGCGCGCGACGGCGTGCTGGAGGCGTTCGAGGTGGCTAGGGAGACTTGGGAGGGAGGAGGAGGAAGGGGAGGGTTCGACAAGTTTCTTGACATGTGGGAGGCGAAAGTTCCAAGGGGGCTGGAGATTGTGATTGCACGAGCCACGTCCCTTGCGCAGGAGGAGGAGAGGAGAGGGGGGGAGGAGGGGAAGTTGCGGCAGCTCATCGAGGAGCTGGTTCGTACCATGCAGGAAGCGTATGCGCGGGTGATGGGGAAGCAGGGGGAGGAGGTGCCGGAGTGGCTCAGGATGGAGGAAGGAGAGGAGGACAAGGAGGAGGACAAGGATGTAGAGATAATTGAGCTGGAACAAGAAGGAGGAGAAGGAGTAGCGGGAACAGGAGCAGCAGGGGGAGCAGCAGGAGCAGCGAGGGAAGGAGGAAAAAAGAGAAAGATTGCGACTCCAGGGGGGAAGAAACGATCTCCGCCGACCTCCAAGCAGAAGAAGGCGTCGACTGCGGAGGAGGGGAAAGAGGAGGAGGGTTCTCTTTCCTCCAAGAGGACTAAGGCGATCGCCCAGGACCCAACTGTCGAGGACCCCAACGCGAACTCAAGGAGGGTGATCAAGACAACGACCCAGGTGGACAAGATCTTCTCAGAGCAGCATCTCTACGTTCATCCCCTCTACGAGTCCCTCCCCTCTGCTCGCCATGGCTTGTCCACGGCGGGAGGAGCACGGGGAGGAGGAGGAGGAGGGGGGGCACGAGGAGGAGGAGCGACGTCGGCGGGCAAGGGATCGGGAGGAGGAGGAGGAGCAGGGGGTTCGAAGGAGTTTACACCCGTCTCCTCCTCCTCCATCATCATACACACTCTGGAGAATGTTGAGGACTTGCTGCATCAGCTGCTGCCTTCCTTTGTCGTCGTCCTCTCCCCCGACCTCTCCGTCACGCGCTCCCTCGAGACGTTCCATGCTGATCATCCCAACCTCCCGCTCCGAGTCTACTTCCTCTCCTACTCTAACTCAGTGGAGGAGCAGCGGTTTCTTACCGAGGTCTCTCCCTTCTCCCTCTCCCTCTCCCTCTCCGTCTCCGTCTCCGTCTCCGTCTCCGTCTCCCTCTCCGTCTCCGTCTCCCTCTCCTTCTCCCTCTTCCTCTCCGTCTCCCTCTCCTTCTCCTTCTCCTTCTCCTTCTCCTTCTCCCTCTGCGTCTCCGTCTCCGTCTCCGTCTCACTCTCCCTCTCCTTCTCCTTCTCCTTCTCCTTCTCCTTCTCCTTCTCCTTCTCCTTCTCCTTCTTCTTCTCCTTCTTCTCTCACGCTAGGTTGCAGGTCAAGAGGGAGACCGAGTCCTTCAAGTCTCTCATCGAGACCAAGGCTACCATGGTCATCCCCGACGATCAGGACGGCAAGACAGGCGACGTCATCCTCCTCTCCCCAGACGCCCCTCAGCCGACCTCCAGCAGGAAGGGAGGAGGGGCGGCGAAGAGAAGGGTGAAGGTGGTGGTGGATGTCAGGGAGTTCCGCTCAGCTCTGCCCTCCCTCCTCCATCAGCGAGGCCTCGAGCTCGTCCCGCTCACCCTAGAGGTCGCTTTCAGTCTGTACCCTCTCCTCCTCCTCTCTTGTCCTCCTCTCCTCTCCTCCTCTCCTCCTCTCCTCCTCTCCTCCTCTCCTCCCTCTCCTCTCCTCCTCTCCTCTCCTCCTCTCCTCCTCTCCTCCTCCCCCATCCTCGTTTGGTTCAGCCAACGTATCTCCGTCCCTTCCTCACGCTGATCCGCCCGCAGGTTGGCGACTACGTGCTGTCGCCGGACATCTGTGTCGAACGGAAGAGGTCTGCCCGTGCTGCCCCTCCTCCTGCACTCCCATCCCCCCCGCCTCCTCCCTCGCCCCTCCTGCTCTAGTTCCCTACTTAACTTAACCTTCTGTCCAGCATCTCCGACCTTTACAGCTCTTTCGCATCGGGGCGTCTCTTTCAGCAGGTGGGCCTGCGTCCTTGGGGTGGTTGAAAGGTGACGGGGACGTTGGGCCAGGTGGAGAACATGACCAGGTTCTACAAGATCTCAGTTCTACTGATAGAGTTCGATGAGAACCGACCTTTCAGGTCATCATCATCATCATCACCACCACCACCACCACCACCGTCATCACCTTGCTCATCATCACCGCCGCCGCTGCCATGATTCTAATCATCATCACCATCGCCATGATCATCACAATCATCATCATCATCGCCATCACCATCACCATCGTTGTGATCGTTTCCTCGTATAGCCTGCAGAGCTCGTCCTCGATCTCCTCCGACATCGCAATAGGCAGCATAATCTCCAAGATCGTTCTTCTCACCCTTCACTTCCCCTCCCTCAAGGTAACGCCGCTGCCCTGCATGTCAGACGACGAGGCTGCAGATCGATTTTGACATGCCGCAACGGCATCTTGTGCTCTGATCTCAACGTGCCACGACTGTCATGGGGACTCACTTGCTCGTCCTCTCCCTCAGGTCATGTGGATGCGAAGTCCTTACGCTACCGCCATCATGTTCGACGAGGTCTAGATCTTCCTTGCGGCCTCTCCTCTCCCTTCCTCCTCTCGTTCCCGTTCTTCCTCCTCTCGTTCCCGTTCTTCCTCCCCCTTCCCCTTCCCCCCCCCCTTTCCCTTTTCCTCTCCTTCCTCCTCTTCCCCTCTCTCCCAATCTTCCTCTCCCTTCCTCCAACCTCACCTCTCCCGCAGCTGAAACAGAACCAAGAGGAGCCATCACCAGAAACTGCTGAGCAGGTCAACCGTCCTTCCCTCCTCCCTCTTCTGCTTCCTAAAACTCAATTGCAACTTAGGTCGGTCAGGATACCAATCAGGCACAGAACCAAGGATTTGCTGTCGTCCCTGCTGACATTCTGAGGAGGTTCCCCTTAGCCTTGACTCTCCTCCCTCTCATCCCTCTTCCTCTCTCCCTTTCCTTTCCGCCCACCTCCCTCCGTCTGCTCCTTTCCCTACCTTCGCCCTAGCTCGTATCCTTCAACTTGCTCGATATCTCCTTCCTCTCCCCTCGCTCCCACCGCAGTACAACCGCTCCTCTTCCGCAGGCATGATGGAACATCGCAGGCTACCTGGGGTGAACGCCAACAACGCGACATACCTGATGAACCATGTGAAGAGCCTCTACGACTTGAGGTCTGCAGCCGTCCCTTCCCCCTGTATTCCTCCTCACGCCCGATGCAGTAGGATGACGGAGCTGCAACTAGCCGGGCTGATAGGAAATGGCCCGGCCAAGCAGGTACCTCCAGGGGTTTCAGTACGGCATCTGATCGCTGACTCGCACCTGCAGCTCTACGACTTCATGCATGCCCGCGGCCCATCATCGCTTAACCCCTCCATGTGATCATGGGCAGGTCAAGATCAAACAACTCAGGTCAAGCGGTCGTGATGCAGTCGGAGCTTCTTCGAATGTTGTTCTTGATGTATTCAAGACGTCCTACCGCTCTCTTGATAGTCACTCTTGATGTATGGAAGACGTCCTACCGCTCTCCTTCCGTCTCCCCATTGTTTTTCACAAGTCTTGGTTTGTCGGGGAGAATTGATCCGATAGCAATCAAACTGCTTTCAAATTAAATCGAACAATTTGTTGATTCAAATCGATTGGTTCAAAAAAAAGCATGCGTGGGATACCCTCCTCCCCTCTCATCACACCATTTGGCGGTGAGTACCCCTGCTTTATCCTTCGAGTACCCCCCTATTTCCTATATTCCAGCACCCTACCTGACTGTGCCCTTACCACCCACCGTATCACTACCCCATATTTTCCCATTGAAGGACCCTACCCTTCCCAGAGTCCTGGCTATAAAAGAAAGAAAAAAACCGCAGTCGCGCGTGCAGCATGGGAGACAGGGGCGGCTTCCGCGGCGGCTTCGGCGATCGAGGAGGACGTGGACGTGGACGTGGACGTGGTGGAGACAGAGGAGGGTGAGAAACGAACTCTTCCTTGTGCTCCAATTCCTGGATGATCGATCCTCTTGCTTTGCTGGAGGTTCTGTCTCGAACTTGGGTGCTAGTTGGCAGCACTTGCGAGGATGTACGTGTTTGTCGGTGTTTGAACGCGATCTGCTCTCCTTTCCTCCTATCCTCTTGTGGCGAGAGCAGCAGATAGTGACTTCCTCACAGCAGGGGCCGCGGTCGCGGTCGCGGTCGCTCCGATGGCGAGAAGGAAGACTGGGTTCCAGTCACCAAGCTCGGACGCCTTGTGAAGGCCGGAAAGATCAAGTCTTTGGAGCACATCTACTTGTTCTCCATGCCCATCAAGGAGTACGAGATCGTCGACTTCTTCTTGGGCCCTCCTGGTGCCAACAAGCTCAAGGATGAGGTGATGAAGGTCCAGCCTGTTCAGAAGCAGACCAGGGCCGGTCAGCGCACTCGCTTCAAGGCCTTCGTGCTCGTCGGAGACTTCGACGGACACGTTGGTCTCGGAGTGAAGGTCGGCAAGGAGGTTGCCAACGCCATCCGTGGCGCCATCCTCGCTGCCAAGTTGGCCGTTGTTCCTGTCAGGAGAGGGTACTGGGGTAAGAAGATCGGTCTTCCCCACACCGTTCCCAACAAGATCCACGGCAAGTGCGGATCCGTTCACATCCGTCTGGTGCCTGCTCCCCGCGGTACCGGCATCGTTGCGGCTCCTACCTCCAAGAAGATCCTCCAGTATGCGGGAATCCAGGATTGCTTCACCTCGTCCTCGGGATCCTCCGCTACCCTCGGAAACTTTGCCAAGGCTACCTTCAACGCTCTTGCGGTGCTCTACGGATACCTCACCCCTGAGCTCTGGAGGGAGACCAAGTTCACCAAGCAGCCCTTCCAGGAGTTCACCGACGACCTCTCTGCGTCCAAGGTGATCAAGTCCCGCGGCGCTGCTGACAAGTACTCGTAAACGTCTCTCGCTCATCGCCACTGGTCAGCCGCTGTGAACACGCCCACTGTTGCAGCATGCTTCCTCGGGGTTTGAGGGAGCATGTGCGAGACTCTGGTCCTTTTACCGGAGAACGCATAATTCGACCATTGCTATAGATTCTTGAGAGAAAGTTCGATAATAAAAAAGTAGAAAAATTTATACAATCAGTCTGTTGTTGAACTTTAAGATATACCATACATGCTGTGCCATCCTTGTCAAGTGTACCTCCTGCTGATCCTGTCGGCCATTACTCTGCTGCTTCCACTTTGTCAGCGAGTGAAGCTGCAGAAGCAACGAGACCTTGAAGCAGCTGCGAGTTTGCTCGGTTTTGTCAGAGTCTTGCTCCTCGACGTCGCGGAGGCCGGGTACACGTCATCATCGTTGGAGACGCGCTCACGTCTGCCAGCTAGTCAGGTGGCTCTCTTGATGCTCTAGAGCCTCACTCGACACGATCTGCCGCGTGCCGCCGCTCGGTGATGCAGTAGTTGTCGAGGAAGCTTTCATAGTCGATGAAACCAGTCTGTTGCTTGTCGAGATAGCGAGCAAACCTGCGGATAGATGAGATGCAGAGCAGAGCAGAGCAGAGCAGAGCAGAGCAGAGCAGAGCAGAGCAGAGCAGAGCAGAGCAGAGCAGAGCAGAGCAGAGCAGAGCAGAGCAGAGCAGAGCAGAGCAGAGCAGAGCAGAGCAGAGCAGAGCAGAGCAGAGCAGAGCAGAGCAGAGCAGAGCAGAGCAGAGCAGAGCAGAGCAGAGCAGAGCAGAGCAGAGCAGAGCAGAGCAGAGCAGAGCAGAGCAGAGCAGAGCAAAGCAGAGCAGAGCAGAGCAGAGCAGAGCAGAGCAGAGGAAGGAAAAATGGGAGCAGGAGATGGGAGTGACAACTAGCAAAGGGGGAAGAGAGAGGGGAGTTGACGAGAGAAAAGGGAGGTAGCAGGGGAGAAGCTGAGGCGAGATATGGGTCATGAGATGGATAGAGATGAAGCCCGAAGAGGCGATCATGTGCAAGGAGGAAGAAGAATTTGAGAAGCGGCATACGTCACCTCCTGACTTGCTTCACTTCTATCCCCACCGGCAGCATCCCTACGAGCTGTCGAACGAAGTCGTCGATTGGAATCTTACCTGGTGAATATGAGGTGAGGAGGAGGAGGAGGAGGAGGAGGAGGAGGAGGAGGAGGAGGAGGAGGAGGAGGAGGAGGGTGAAACAAGAAACAAGAAAGGAGAGAAAGGGTAAGGAAGGGTTTGAAACAAGAACTTGATACCGTTTAACTTCTCGTCGAGGGAGAAGAAGATATTGAACACTTCATCATAGCGATTCCTTCACTTTCAGTGAGAGGAGATACGACGGGAGTCTAGTAGAAAGAGCGCAGAGCAGAGCAGAGCAGAGCAGAGCAGAGCAGAGCAGAGCAGAGCAGAGCAGAGCAGAGCAGAGCAGAGCAGAGCAGAGCAGAGCAGAGCAGAGCAGGAAGGCAGTGGACAGAATCTTACCGTAAGCTCTTTCGGCAAGAGTCTTCTATCATTCTAATCTCCTCCCTATACTTCACCTGCAACGAGGTCAGGGAGCCCAGGGCTGCAGCCTTGGATGGCTGACCTCGTGCTCCGGCCTCTTCACCTCCTCCTCCCTCAGCCCCAGCATCTTCGCCGCCTGCCTTCGGATGTCTTTGCAGAGCTGGCAGCAACGGTATCATCAGCACAAGAACTTCTCGCTGCCCGTTGGGTCCCTCCGACGTCCCTTCCCCTTTCCTCGATCTCGACTTCACACCACAACTCTCCATCATCGCCACTACCTCGGCCGCCGTGTCTGCAGACACCGTCCCTTCCATGAAGTACGACAACCCTGCCGTTGCGGTCAGCCGTCCAACATCCCCTGAAGACCTGCCTCTCCCCCGCCCCACCTGTCTCCAGCGCGACTCGCTTGTGCTCGGGGATCTTAATGTTCCCCTCGAGGACACCGTACCTGCCGGCACATCAACCTTGACCCTCAACTGCCTCCGCTGACATCATCTGCAGCTCCTGCGGCGTTATGAGCTTCTCGTGCAGCAGCCTCCACAGCGGGATCCTGAATCTCTCCGTCGGTCTCTCCTCCGACCGATCCTTCAGCCTGCCGATTTCTGCCATGAGGGTCTGCCATGATGCGTGAGATCGTGCGAAACTGAGGAAGTGACGGGGGCTACCTCACGCGAGCTCTCCTCTACTCCAAGATCGGCCAGGTCGTCGGCAGAGAGCTGAAGGGCAGCAGGTCAGGAGACGCCGCAGCATCGGTTGTCCGATCCTCACCTGGAAGAGGAGAGCAGACGAGTTGATGTTCGCTTGCTGGGAACAAGAGTCAGTCTCGAGGGATCCTAGGGAACTGGTAGCGAGCTGGACCTGGAACGCCGTCATGTAGCGCTGCAGTCCGAGAGTCTCCAACCAGATCAAGCTGTGGGATAAAGATGGTGATTCTACAAGTGCGACAATGGAAGACAACAAGAGACGACAAGGGTTCCACCAACAAACTTCTCAGATTTTGCAAACATCAGGCTCGGACTTCCCGGCATCGCTTACATGTGTGTCGTAGTGTTCCAGCGGTCGGTCTGCCGGCCCTTCACGTCTGCGAACGCCTGGGACCATGATAGTGAGGCCCCGGTCGCAGCAGAGACAAGAACACCATCTCGTTGGAGTGCTGCCAAGTCGTCGACGACTCAACTCGCTCATGCTTGCTCCGTGCATCGTCAATCTCCCTCAGACGACCCGCAAAGACTCCAGAGAGTCTGAGCGACTTCTTCGCGTAACTGCAGACGGCATGACCGCTAGTGCACAACCTCCTCCACCATCACCTTGTCACCATCTCATCGAACAGCGCTTGCACTTTGTCATCTCCGGAGCTCAACACAGCAGAGTGGACCTGGTCAAGGTTGTCCCTGGCCTATATGGGAAGGTCAGAGAGGAGGAGGAGGAGGAGGAGGAGGAGGAGGAGGAGGAGGAGAGGGGGGATGAGAAGGACAGGAGGAGGAGGAGGAGAGGAGGAAGGGGAAGTGGAGTATGACAAGGAAGAAGAGGAGGAGGAGAGGAGGAGGAAGGGGAAGTGGAGTATGACAAGGCAAAAGAGGAGGAGGAGGAGGAGGAGGAGGAGGGCACGCGCTACCCTTTGCAGAACGGGGTCAAGGATGGGACGTGAAGCGTCCCCAACGATCTTGAAGAGGCCGGGCATGTGGTTGGCGATAACTCCGTCGAAGCACAGGGGAGGGTCGCGCTCAACAAAGCACGAGTCCAGATTACACAAGCTCTCGTCCTCACACCTGGCAGTCCCGTCATAGGAGGCCGCAGGAGATGATGGACCAGCCTGCGGGAGAGGAGGGAGCCGAGGTTCTGAACCAACGACCCGACCCGGGCTATCCTCTGGCTCTTCTCCTCAAGGAAGCACATCAAGTGCAGCTGCCAGGTCTCGGCTCAGCTGGAGGGCAAGTGACAGGACAGGAGGACCTTGTGACGGTGCTTGCTGAACAAGAGCTTGCACATTTCGAGCTCCCTGGGACTAAGAGGGAGGTAGGGAGTGAGCTCGCCCCGCAGACTTGTGGCTTTCTGGCCTCTCCCCACTCTCTTACAGTCTTGTCTCTTCTCTCCCTTTCTCCTCCTCTTCTCCCTCCTCCTACTCTTCTTCTTCTCTCTTCTCCTTGCTTCCTTTCTCTACCTCTCCCTTCCCTTCCTCTCGCTTTCTCCTCCACCTCGCATCAGTCGCTAACTGATCCTTTACGACTTCATCATCACGCGCCTGATCCCTCAGCTCCTGCAGCCTCGCCCTCCTTCACTCTCCACTCACCTCGTGGTGGATCTTGTGGGGTGGAGTAGGAAGATGATGACGTCACATTCTTCGCCGATTGTCTCTATTGCTCGCTCCCTCTCCTGCGCCATAGCGTCGTCCTGCCACCACCGTCACTCTCAGAAATGCGGAGGAGGAAGGAGGAAGGAGGAGGGAGGAACGAGGGAGGAGGGAGGAGGAAGGAGGGAGGAGGGAGGAGGGCAAACCTGGTGCAACAAGCTTTCAAGGCAAGCGGAGTAGTCGACACGATCCTCGTCCTTGAGATTCAGGTGGTGGAAGAGCTCGTGCAACTTAGAGGACTCGCATCCCAGCTTCATGTCCTCCATCACACTCCTCACGTCCTTGACCGTCAGCACCCCATGACCCTCGTCGTCGCGTCTCCTCAACGACGCGAGAACCTGGCAAGGAGGGTCAGGTCCCGAAGCAAGCAAGCAGACAGACACGACCTCCTCTTTGTGCTGCCCGATCTGTCTTGATATGTCCGCAAAGACCTCCGAGACGCTCGCATCTGGCCTCCTGACGTGCCCTACCAGATCAGGGGCTACAATGAAGTTGACCAGAACGAATTCGCGGACATCCTGTTCGATCTGCTCTGCCATGAAGGCAGCCTTGATGTCTCTCAACCTGGAGAGCTTGTCGACATTCCCACCAAACCCTTGCAAGAGAGTGCTGAGAGCGCCTTGCCCCTGATCGACGTCCCTGCTGCAGCCGCTCTGCACGACGAGGAAGTGGTTAGCTCGATGTCTCCTGCTCTTGCATTGCGACTCGGTGTATTGCTCGATGAAGGCCAGTTTCCCTCCTCTATCCCCCACCAGCATCACGTTGACCTTCCTGCTAGGGCGCGGCGTCGAGATCTCTTGCTCGAGTCTTAGAGAGGAGGCGATGAGTTTCAGTCCCACCCTGCTGTCCTCGTGCACGTTGGCAATGAAGCCCAGCAGCCTTCCAGTCGGCGCCACGTCACCACGAGCCTCCTCCTCCTCTATCCCCGACCTCTCCGTCGCATTCGCCGCTGCTGGGGGCTGAGGGAGGGGCTGAGAAGTCACTTGGCTGGTCTTGGAGGGCACGTTGGTAGCCTGCGGAGGGGTCGCCTTGGGGGGGTTCGTCTCCTCCTTGGCACTTTTTTCAGCTCCTTTCGCCTCCTCTGCTCTTATAGTGGACGCTGGAGGCTTCTCTATGGTCTCAGCTGCTTTCCCGCTGTTCGCTGGAGCCTGCTTGCTGCCTCCCCCCGCCAGGGTCTGCGGCTGCGTCTGCGGCTGAGCTTGCTGCTCTGGCTGCGGCTGCGGCGGCGCGGCAGCTCTCTTTCCGTACTTCCTCAAGATTTTCCTCAGGGAAAAGGAGGGCAGGTCGTTGAGGTCCGACAAGTCAGCCGCCATGTTGAGCAGGGTGAACTTGAGGTGCTCCTGCGCAGGAGACTCTCGTTCCATGAGCTTTTCAAACAACTTCGCTAGGTGGAGGTCCACTGACTTGAGCATCGAGTGCAGTGGGCGGTCGACAACATGGCAGATGTCCATCTTGATCAAGTCCCCGGCGCTCACAAACTCCCCGGCCAGCCTGTCAAGGGCGTACTTGTCCTTGTAGAAGAACTGCATGGTGGCATGCGCGAGAGGTCTGCAGTGCTTGTTGAAGGCGCCCTGCATCTTGTTAACGTGCCGCTCGAGATCGTCTTCGGTGACGTGGCCGACAGGGAGAGCGCAGTAGAACTTGCACTTATCCTTGTACGTCTCGAGCATCTTGGTGTAGACTGACATCTCTTTCGTGTTGTAGCTCACCCTGGTTGGATCTCCGAGGATGATGACGAGGCCGCACATGTCAGCAATCTTCGACAGCGCCTCGTCCAGGTTCGAAACCGGCTGGTTGGAGTCTGCCTGCCTGAAAGCGCTCGAGAACTCCTCCCAACCAACCTCGCCCTGCCCCGTCGTGTCGATGTCAGCAAAGATCGAGTTGATCTCCTGCTGCGACAGCTCCAGGTGCTTGTCTTGCACGCCCCGGGAGAAGTCGAAGAGCGACATCCTCGCATGTTTGGGATCTTCCGTCGAGCTGCAGAGAGCGTCAAACTCTTCCCTCAGAGTCTTCCTACTGTGGGCCATGTCCTCCCGTAGCTTGTCGAACGCTGCCTGTGTGGCCGGGTCGAGCTTGCTGTCTCGTCCTTCGATCGCTGGTGCCCGGATGAACACGAGAGCATCCAGGTCACCGTCGTCAGTCTGATAGCAAGGGAGCTCCTCGAAAGCGATCGCTCGCTCCATCCCTTGCATGCTCATCATCTTGGCGACTTCAGGCAACTTCAGCTGGTCGACGGCGGCCTGCCCCTTGACGACAGACGACTTGTCTCCCCTCGCTATGACGGTGAAGTGATGGGTGGTCCCGAGCCCGACGTTCTTTAACTTGCTCCCTGTGTACCAGTGGAGGAAGTCGGCGGGGCCTTCGCCGTTGCCGAGAAGGAGCACGAAAACCTTGTGCTGCAGGAGAGGTTTGGTTATCTCCTCTCCCAGCTCCCTCGACAAGTTCGAGATGCTGGAAGGGTTCCGAGGGTCCTCGTACAAGTTGTCGATGGCATGGAGGAAGAGCTTGAGCGACCTCCTCGCCTCTGTTGGCCTCGTGGGCTGGCTGACGTGGAGGCGCGGGTTGAAGAACACCTCCCTCCCCTCCTCCTTCCTTGCCTCCCACCCTGCTGGCAGATTGGGAAGCATCTCCCCCTCGTCTCCCTCGCTCCTTTCCTCGAACAAGTGCATCCCATGCAGGATGCTCATCATCGACGACGACGGCCCGTCCGGCATGCTGGCCACCTTGTTGATTGCCGACTGCACCGTCGTGGCCACCTTGTTCAGCTTGAGCAGCGGCTGGAAGTCTCCGGGCTCGCGATGACTCGACAGCACCAGCCGATCAACCAGAGAGACCAAGCTGTTGTTCAGCTCAGTGTTCTTAACGTCGAACATCTTGGAGCAGACGTTGACTAGGTTGAGCTGGGAAGGAGCCACCAGCGTCGCTTCCAAGATCTTGTCAACCCTGAGCGCTATGACGTCGTGGATGTCTTGGAGGGAGTTGGGGGCATCAAGAGCGTGCTGGCTCTTGCTGGTCCAAACGACAGGCAGCTTCTTGAACTTGACATCATGCAGACAAGCTGACATCTTGTCACGGGTTGACTGGATGTACTTGGGGGTGTGCTGGTCCGAGAGGTGTCGCTCTTGCAGGAAGCACCCGAAGAAGAGCTTGCTCTTGTGGGTCTCGTACAGCCTCTCGTACAGCAAGAGCTCTCTCCTGTTGATTCTTGTTATCCTCGGGTCCACCAGCACCACCACAAAGTCCACAGCCTGCGCGATCTTCATGAAGAAATCCTCCACGTCGTAGCTGTACGGGAGGTCGGGTGGCTTCATCGCGTGCAGGAACTCGTCAAACTCCATCATGCTCTCCTTGTTCACATCAATCATGTCGAACAGCTGCTCCACCTCTCTCCTCGACACCCTCGTGCTCAGGGCCTCCAACCCTTCCACGAACTCTTCTCGCGACAGGTAACGGTCGCTGTTCGTGTCCATGTCCTCGAAGATAGACCGTATCGACTTGCTGCTCTTCGGATCTTCGATCGTCTCCCGCACAACCTGAGCGACTCGATCCTCCTCGAACTGCGACTTCCCCACCACCGACGGCATCCTGATGAAGCTAATGAGCTGCGCGTCCATCTTGTCCGCCTCCACCGCCTCGTGCAAGCAGAAGTTCAAGCCATCCACAGCAGCCTGCAGTGAGTCGTTGTGCTCGCCTTGCAGCCCCGTCCTCACAACGACGGCCTTGTTCTCTGTCCCAAGACCCTTGTTCTTCAGCGTTGCGCCAAGGTAGTCCTCGATGAAAGTGCCAGCGAGGTCTCCGTTTCCAACCACGGCGATGCTGAGCTTGTCGCCATCTCTGACCCTGGGCTTCCTTGCGACTACTTCTATCAACCTGCCCAGCTCAACCAGGCCCTTCCCGCCGTCCTCGGTGCCATCATGCAGTTCGTCAATGATCCGCAGTAGCGCCGACGTTTCTCTCGTCGACTCCGCCATGTCCGGAGAAGGCCCTGATGCTGATCAATGCAGCTGCTCCATGACGGCGCCATCCTGAGCGCTAGGGCTGCTCCTCTCTCTCTGTATCCTCCTTCTTGCAACTCCGTCTCCTCCTCCTCCTGCCATGCTCTGCCCACCCATCGCTCCGCTCATTCCCTCCATTTCGCCCCTTCTCCTTTCCAGGTCTCTGAGGCAGGCTTCACATTCGAAGTTGATGAAAAATTAAGGCTTGCATCCCATCTGATCATCATAGGCTTCCCCCCCCCGCTTCCTCCCCCTCCCCC